ATGTTAAAAAAAATCGTGTAAATTTCAAATAGTAAAACTGACGTTCTTATAAAAATAATGAATAAGTTTACTCCATCGAAATAATTTATCATGTCATAAATGACAGGAAATCTAAATTTGACGTCGTATCTGACATAGTTTGTAAATGACATGCTCTTAAGACAGCGTCGTTTTGCATCTTATCAATTTGGTAATTTTCATGCGCTTATAAATATAAAAGTCCATGATATACACCTAGGCTGTTTATATTTTTGTAATCGACAATAAACATTAAATATTTTCACCAAGTTTCAAATCTCCATATGTAATAATCCGTGGAGATATGAATGTGAAAATGTCTTTCGTTGAAAGCTTAAATGACTCTTTCAATGAAAGACATTTTCACACGACAAAAAATGCAGTGAATTTTCAAGATGCTCTTATTTTAAATTTCTTAAGGATACAGATAGAGTATTTGGGGTTTGTCAATAATTTTGACCCAGGGAAACCTGTGAACTTTCACAGATTTTTCGGAGAGGTTCATTTGTGGCTGTTGGCTGATTTGAGATAGAACGACCCAGCTTCCTTTCATCATGGAGTAACCTAGATTCCTTTCATTTCGTTTCGAAATTGTTATACAGTCTGTAGGTATAATTCCTGTGGTGTAATCATGTAGAGGCTTATTAATTTTCTAGACCGTTCATCCATCAGTTGTTACCTGTCTTGTTCAAGCAAGAAATTACAAATACTATCTTCAGGGTTATCTTTTTTTTCGTAGATTTTTACTGCATGGCTTTATTTATAAAAAAAAGTCTTTCTCACTTCCCTTATTTGTTTGATAATTACCTTTCGTTTTATGAAGTAGCGGTCAAGTACTTTCTAAAAAGATCTTTTGGTATCATCGATTTCTTGAAAGGCGCCAATGATGAACTTGTTTCCAAGTGTCGGAGCCGTGAGAAGCAGAATTCTTTATTGAGAAATTAATAAAACAATTTATTCAATGACTAAACACATATAAGAAAAATAGACCTACTAATCGGATATACAGGATATATATATATATATATATATATATATATATATATATATATATATATATATATATATATATATATATATATATATATATGTATGTGTGTGTGTGTGTGTGTGTGTGTATTTAAAGTATTTTTGTTTTTTTATCAACTAGGTTTTCTTTTTATTCAATTTTAAAATCGTATAATCTTCTACAAAAAATTTTCATTGACGCCTATTATGGCAGCAGTTTATCGATTAGGCTGGCTGGCTATTTATCCCTCGTAGTCTGTGTGTCCGTCTCTCTCTCTCTCTCTTTATCTCTCTCTCTTTCTCTCTCTCTCTTTATCTCTCTCTCTCTCTACCCTTTCACTCTTCATCTCGCTTCCCTAATCCTACCACTTTCCTCCTCCAATTTTTCTCTCCATACATATATATATATATATATATATATATATATATAGAGAGAGAGAGAGATATGTGTGTGTGTGTGTGTTGTTTAAAATTTCCTATATTTTGATGAATGGTCAGTATGTCTGTATCAGAGATAGACCGTTTATCTATCTATCTATCTATCTATCTATCTATCTATGTATCTATCTTACTTCATTTATATGTCTCTTTCTCATTTTTCATCTCTCTCTCTCTCTCTTTATATATATATATATATATATATATATATATATATATATATAACGCCGTACCTTATTACCTATGCTGTTCTTTTCATCCACACATACACACACATAAATATGTTGTCTTTTCATATTGATTTCGCGTCTCTTTTAACTTATAAATTACCCTTCTTCACAAACTTTAAACTCGAAATTATTTTCCCTCTAATTTTTTTCAATCTTTATTTGTTCTTATCACGAAAACCATCTTTTGTCCCCACTTTCAAATCAGCGAAGAAAAGAAAAAAATAACTTGTTTATTTCTTTCCTTTGCTTAAAATATTCCCCATGTTCTCCCTGCTGTAAATTCTTTTCTAATTTCCACAACCGCAATTTATCAAACATTTATTGATACAAGTTGTCGAGCGCTTTCCCGAAAATTGCCCCCATCATCAGACATGAAGACTGTAAAAATGGATTTTTTTTTCTTTTTTGCTGACTACGGTCAAATCGAAACCAGAGAGAAGGAGATAATTCAAGATTCACAGTAACCTTCAGATATCAACCAGTTCCCGGACACCCACCCCTATTCCAGGTGACGTAGAAAACAAATCACATCCACTTTCTTCTTCTTCTTCTTCTTCTTCTTCTTCTTCTTCTTCTTCTTCTTCTTCCGTGAGCCGTGTCCCTTCAAGACTTGTTTGATCATGGGCCTGCACAACTTCCTATCCTTTGTATCTCTCAGGTTTATCTTTTTACGATCAGTTCCACTCTTTGTTCTGATAAGGATTCATCCAAGCTCGTTAGGAAGGCTATTCGCTGCTTGTCTTTGTCCCTCCTCCATTTAGTATGTCATACGAGTATCAGATTCTCCAAGCCCTCTTTCCTCAGTAGGTGTCTTAGAAATTTCAACACTCTTTTTCTGATACTAAATATAATCGCCCGTTTTGTTTCTATTTTTTAAAACGTCCTCGCGATTCAAATGATTCTCAGCATCGTTATGTAGAGCCATATTTCCATTGCCCCATCAATCTTTTTCATTTGTGAGGAGATTGTCTAGCATCAATACTTTGTATCAATACTTTGCTTAGCTTTTGGGAGGCATCTTTCGCTATTCCAATGCGTCTTCGGATTTCGGTGTCACATTATCCTTCCTCTGTTAAAACACTTACCAGATATTTTATTGTTTCTTAATACTTTGCTTAGCTTTTGAAAGGCATCTTTCGCTATTCCAATGCGCCTTCGGATTTCGCCGTTGCAAAATTGTTGGTCGAGAAGCAGCTATCAAAATAAAAAATGCTTTTGACAATAATGCTAGTATGTGTAGATTACCAATTTCTTTAGTGAACGGAATTGTTTTGCACCAAACTCCTCCCTTAATCTCATCCGCCATTTGTGAATAAATAGAATGGTAAGGACCAGCGTATTAGAGATTAAAATTCCTTTCTTTTTCTTTTTTTTTTTTTTTTTTAAACAATCACCCCAGATTATGATATAACCTTCTCCACTGTGTCGTGTAGAAAATGTCTCTGGTGGGATATCCTTATCGTGCCAGTAATGTTGGAAGCCATCTCAATCATCGTGGTTAATTTTTTTTCTTTCACTTTTCTATGTCACATGTTTGGCGCTTCTCGGTTAAGTGTAACCGAGCAGTTTGAGTGTGTGAAAGGAGGAAGCGTGGACGTTGAAGATGTTTACGGGTTTTAAAGCCATTCTCTCGGAGATGCTATCTTATTGTACTTGAGCTGCATTCTGCGCCCGCAAGGACTCTAATTTCGTTCTTTAACCAGTTGTTGTCTTGCCGGACAACCCATCGAATCCTCCTACTCAACCCCAACGAAATGTTCTTCCCTCGTTCCCTACCCTTTAAGGTCATTTAAGAAATTTGCAGCACTCTAACAAGTGATGGCACGTTCAGTGAGACCTTGCTTTTGCAGCTCGACAATTCTGTTATGTTCAATCTGTCATTTTTTTCGCCTTTGTCATATTTTTACCTAATGTGTCGCAGAAGATACCAGTGGGGGATGGTGACAGCGCTAATGTTTGTAAACAAATGACTAAACTTCGCTACATGTTTACCAATTAAAGCTTCGTTTAAATATGGTCTTTTGGTCTTTTTTAATCGCATCACCTCGTGCAAGGCAGTGAAGACACTATAATACAAGGGGTTACTTAGTGTGAAAGAACAAGAAAACTAGAGAAACATTAGGGAGTGAAGGGAACAGAAGACTAATCAAGCCACTAGATAGCGATTGGCATTACACTTAAATTTTTGAAGATCAAGGTTGGCTGGAAAGCATGATGCCGAAAGAGAGTTCTACAAACAAGAAGTTCAAGAAAAGAAACTTTGCATAGAACTTACGGTTACATCTAACAAATTCATCTGTGAATTAATGAGACTTTGCCGCCAATCGAGTACTGCGCTTAAAATTCATCAAGTCTACGTACAATACCGAAGAGTTCATCCGAACAGTTACCAGGAAAGTATTTTCAGAAAAGGCACAGGCGGTAGTAAAGTCACTGATGCCGAAATGCCAGGTCAGGATCAATAAGTTGCCGATTTTTTTTTTGGATTTTATCAAGAATCTCTAAATATACAGCGGGAACACCGGACCAGATGTGGCAGCAATATTCAAAGTATGATTGAATGATAGACTTATAAATATGCAAGATAGATTCTAGAGATAAAAAAAAATATCTAGTACAACACAACGACCCGACTTTTTAGCAACAGACCTAGCAATGGATTCAATATAGTCTTTCCACTTCATATCAGCTGAGAATGTTAGACCAAGCACGCGTAACGACTCACTCTCATGGAGATTAGCGTCAGCCATGCTGATGGGAGGCAGGAAGGTTTGGGTTTTTTTTCGGGTGATTAATAGAGAGAAGTTTGGCTTTTGGAAACGTTAAAATTAACAAGCCACTCCTTGCCCCAGGTCAGTTTTAGATCACCAACTAGTGTCAACTTATCGAAATGATCAGACTTATTATCGAAACAGAAGTAAATGGTTGTCATCAGCATAGATACCAAGTTGAGAACTAATGTCATCAGGAAGGTCGTTGATAAAAATTAAGAAGAGACATGGGCGACACCGGCATTAATACTATATGATCTAGAAGAGTGGCCATTCAAGACAACTTTCATTTCGCGATTAGGTAAAAAAGATGGAATTACTTAAAAAATTTGTTCGGAAATACCGTAGCCTTTCAAATTGTGGAGAAGACCACTATATCAAACACTTTCGAGATGTCCAAACAAGATTTTTCCCGTAGACGTTCGTGATCGCTGGTATTGATAGTTTATAGAGCTTTGGATTTGTTCTTTTGAAAGTCGACGTCCCGATTTCTCAGTTCAAGCCGTTATGCATTACACCCCCCGAACATCCAAGCTTACAAGACTTGGCATTCCCAAGCGGTCACCCATCTAGATACTGACAAGCCTCAACGTTGTTTAACTTCGGTGATCGTACGAGAACCGGAATCACCCCATGAAAAGACATCTAGAAAAGAGTGGAACGATAGATGAAGCCGTTCTACGTATTTTTAATTTAATTTAATTTTTTTTATTTTTTTTAAGAAAATAGAAAAATTTCAACCAAAAATGTAAAGTAGTAGAATTAAAAAAAAAAAAAAAAAAAAAAAAAAAAAACAGTAAGAATTAAAACTTCCATAAAAATATCACATTCTAAAAGTGAATGCATATATTTCTATCTGTCGTGTAATTACTGATGTTGATGCGATTACAATGTTCTGAATAGTACTGAAAAACTAATCGCTATCCTATACCATATATTAACTTATTTAATTCTAAAACTTGTCAATGTGCCTAAGACAACGATAAGTGCATCTTTCGGTCTGTTTAAATATAATTATATGCTTTACGAATTAAAAAAAAATTTAAATAACGTTTAGACCGTTCAGCTGTTGGAAGTGAGATGCAACTATTAATTAAAAACAGCACAGACAGAAACTGAGGCTTTTGTAAGCACGTGGATTACAAGATTTAGATTTCTAAGTCATGTAGCAGATAGCGAAAGCCAATTTGAAAATTAATTGTTTTTTAGAACTATCAAAAATAGTTTGTTTTTCATAGATTGAAAACAACTGCTTATTTTCCAGTGTGTAATGGCTTCATAGAGAATGCATAAATAGCAAATACAGCAGCAATTATAGGTCGAAATGAATGATGACTCTCAACATTAGCATTTGTACGCTTCGATATAAACAGCACGCCTAATGAATCAGGTTTCTCTCCTTTTTGTACTGCAACTGATTCCGCAATATTAATTCCCTAACGGTTAATCTGTACACATTAAATGCAATGAAATATGACTCATTAAATAGCAAGTTCATTAAGAGTTTGTGTAAAACTATGCTATAAGTTTTAGTGACTTTTCAAAAGGTAACCTCCACCAAGGAGAGCAATAGGCTTCTTGAACTCACGTTTTCCACAGACATGGAAGTGGGAGTGATTCTAGTGAATCAATTGCGAGGTCTACTGTTAGGAAAGTTGGTTCACGGTGTCGTGACAAACTATTTTTCTCGTCAGAATCCATCCTGCACATTTATAAATTTGCCATTTGTCCGTATCATCTTCGAATATTTCTGCCATATATAGTCTGGTGCTACTATTATAGATTAAGACATTTTTGACAAAATTCAAACAAGAGTCTGCAATGTCGTCGATCCTGGCCCGATTTCTTGCTTCCCTACAAACTACAATTTAAGTGCAAAATTATTAGGTTGGTGCAAAAATAATGACGTAAGAATGTCGTTTTTTGACGTTAAAAAATACGTCAAAAACGACATTATTACGTCATTATTTTTGCACCAACCTAATAATTGCCATCTGTCTTCCTGAATCCTTATTCTCCTTAATAACCCCCCTCATACACACACTCACACACACAGTCTCTCTCTCTCTCTCTCTCTATATATATATATATATATATATATATATATGTGTGTGTGTGTGTGTGCGTGTTTTGTGTGTGTATATGTATATATATATATGTATATGTATATATATATATATATATATATATATATATATATATATATATAGAGAGAGAGAGAGAGAGAGAGAAGCAGAAAAATCGGAAAAAATAAATGGAAATATACTCATTTAAATATAGAACCTTCTGAAGAATGGTTGGCACCAAGAAACTTCAGAGTTGGGGATTCAACAACTAAAAAGATTTGATATTTACAGTTAAGTAAATTACAGTAAATTATATATATATATATATATATATATATATATATATATATATATATATATATGTGTGTGTGTGTGTGTGTGTGTGTGTGTGTGTGTGTGTGTGTATCAATTCTTAAACAAATAATATCTAGCTACTCGTTTCTGAGCACGCTGCTCTGCAGATGCCTTCTCGGTCCGTTTGTATTTGTTTAACACGCATACAGCTCACCTGTGGTTTATACTGCAGCTACACTGAGCGAACCTTTATGACAGTTTCTCGTAGAGAGCTCACTCTCTAGCGTGATCAATAGAGTGAACAAGGCCTGAAGTCATTTCCATTTTGAGCTCATCCTTTTGCCGATGCATTCTATCTTTTTGTAATTTATGCCTAATCCTTCGTCACGATGAATTGTGACTTCGTGCTAAGCACAGCCATCGAAGACTTTCGAACGGTTTTGTCTACCCATTTTTACCCACAAGGCTTGGATCAAACAGTGGTATAGTTTTCAGTCACTTTCCAAAGGTGTGGCAAGCAGGGGATAACATCAAGAAGTCACCTTATAGATATATCTATCTATATTTTTAAATTAAATTTAACGCGAGTATAATCTATCGTAGCTTGTGACATCTTTTCAATCAAAATCTCATTTTAAAATTCTTCTTCTTTAATGTGCTGTGTCCATTCAGAGGACAGAGAGGCAACTGAGGAAAATAATATTGAAGAGGTGCCCAGCCCTGGGGAACAGCTGCCCGTGGGCGCGCCCTCCCATTGCACGAGAGGGAGGGATCGGTGCTCGCACCGAGGTCAGCGAAACCGACGGGGGTTGAGGGAAAATTTTGTTCCTGTCTCGGCTGTACACGCTCGGGTCCCCACTTAAAAATAGACCTTTTGTCACATCTCGTCCTAGTGGGGGGGGGACACAGAGTAAATACCGTGTCCCTTCAGGGAGTAGGCGATCATTGTCCTCCACCTGTTCTTGTCCCTTGTAGCTCTTAATAAATTTTGTCTTTTTGTTATTTCTCCCAAACCCTGTTCTACCATCCATTTACTCAAGCCCATCAAGTATGTTACCCACTGCTTTCCTCTCTCCCACTTTCCCTCAATCAGTATCAGGTTTTCCACCCACCCCCACCGCTTCCCCATTACGTGCCTCTTCCTGATATTAAATACAAGTTTCTTTTTTGTTTCCATTCTCTCCAAAACCTCGTTGTTGCTCACATGTTTGGCCCATGGTATCCTCAGTATATTTTTGTAGGACCACATTTCTGTTGCTTCAAGTATCTTCCTCGTCTTTAAGGAGATTGTTCAACATTCGCTGCCATACAGGAGGACAGACATCATGTAACAATTCATTATTCTTTTCTTTGTTTCCAACGAAATAATCTGCCTAGCTTTTGGAATGAATCCTTGGCCATCCCAATACGTCTTCGGATCTCAGTGTCATAGATTCCGTCCTCTGTTAGAACACTTCCCAGATATTTAAATTTATGTATCTGCTTGATTTTAGTATCCCTGACCTGTAATTTGCATTTTGGGCTCACCCTTTTGCTGATAACCATATCATTCTTTCTTCTTGTAGTTTATGATTAGTCCTTTCTTCTCACTTTCCTTCGCTACCTTCTTTAGGAAATTTTGGAATTTCATTTTCGTGTCTGATATCAGCACTGTGTCATTTGCATAACTTGTATTGCTGACATTGTGGCCGCCAATAATGAATCCTGGTACGACTGCTAATTCTCTCAGAATTGCCTCGCTGTATAAGTTGAATAAGTCCGGTAAGAAGGTACATCCTTCTCTTACAAACCTTTCTATTTCTGTATATCCGCTGAACAAAATGCCATATGCTGGCGGTTTTTATTGCTAGTAAAGATTTCTGATTAGTCTGATGTCTTTCCTGAATATATCAAGATTACTGAGCCGCTCTAGCAGATTTTTGTGACGTACTTTGTTGAACGCCTTTGCGCAATCTATAAAATACAGGAACACGCTCTTCTGCATTTGTATTGCTCTTTCTGATAACATTCTGAGCATAAATATTGCATTCCTTGTTCCAGTGTCTTCGATGAACCCACATTGTTCTTGTTTACATTCATTTGTGCCTGGTTTCTTCGGCAGTCATATGAAAATAGATCTGTTCAGGTCCTCCGTTATGTCACCACTGTTGTGGATTTCATTTATTATTTCTGTGATCTTGACTATGCCAGAATCGTCTAAGGCTGCCAGAATCTCTATTATAATTCCGTCTGACCCTGCCGCTTTGTTTCTTTTTAATTTGGCCACTTCGGTTTTTAATATTTCCGGTCCGTCGATATTTCTGTGTATTCCCAGTTGTTCTCTTTTGTCATGGAAGAGTTCTCCGAAGTATTTTTTCTTTCTCTAATATCAGCGTTCCGTCCTTGGATTTTATACAGCCTGTTGATTAAACATGTCTTTTGCCTTATTTACATTATTCGGACTATTGTCCTCATCTTTGTCGCCATATTTATCACAACGTTGGAATTTCGAACTGAACCCTTTATTTCGCTCACGTACCATGTTTGATGGATGTTATCTGCTAATTTTCCCTCTGAAAGTTCTCCACTGCCTTAACCGGGTATTGAACACACACTCTTTGGGTCCTGTCACTGGATCTAACCAACGCCTTTATCCTTGAGGACATCTGGGTATGAATTACTGGGTATTATAAACCTAATGTCCTCAGCAATCATTTTTACCAGTGCTCATATTGCAATTTTGCTGTTATCATTTTATGTTTTTTACCAGAGCTCATATTGCAACTTTGTTGTTATCATTGCTTTTCTCTGGCACTCCTTATTACTGGCTCCCATATTGTATTTATTTCTATGCTATGTCTTTTGCCCTATTTTTTATGCATATCTCTTTTATCTGTGACACTAATTCTTTGTATCTTTGTACATTTTCGTTGAGCCATTCTTCTTTAGCCTGTCTGCATTTGTTCCTTATTTCTTTGTGTAGTCTTCTGTATTCCGTGCCTTTTCTTGGCATTGTTTTTTACCTGCTTTCCATCATGCCGCGAATCTCATTTGTCATCCATTCGTTTCTTCGTCCATTTTCCTTTGGGATGATCACGTTTGCTGATGTCACTAAAGTTTCTCTTAGTGTGTCCCACTTCGAGTTTCCGTTTTGTCTCTCATATGTTCTTTTCACACTGTCCATATATTTTTCTTTCAGGCTCGTTCAAGTGTCTTGCAATTTGGGTGTGGCGTTAGGCTTCTTCATTTTCCGAACTGTCATTCTTAGTTTACATATAACAGGGAGGT